ACCGTGAACACACACCCGGAGCAGTGGGCAGCCATTTATGCTGCGGCGCCCAGGCAGCAGTTGGGGTTCGGTGCCTTGCTCAAGGGCACCTCAGTCGTGGTATTGAAGGTGGAAGAGAGCGCTGTACATTCACTCCCCCCACCTACAATCCCTGCCGGTACGAGACTCGAACCCACAACCTTGGGTTACGAGTCCGACTCTCTAACCATTAGGCCACGACTTCCCCAAAAGGTGCTAATATACACTCACAATGTGATATACTACTACCAAAAAAATTATAATCCTAACCTTTAACTCCATACCGAAATCCCAGATAGCCAGACAATGAAAATATAAATAAATAAATATAAAAATGATTTGTGTTTGGGACGCTGTGAGCATGGAGACTCTAGTGTAGACCGTAAGTTTGAAAACGTTTAGCTTGAATGTTTAATATGACTAAACAGTGCTCATAAACGGCTGCGGAGGCAGTGTTCTCAAGTGAAGCGAGCTGAGGCTTGGACCCGGAAACAGTGCTTCTTGTGTCACCACTTAACAACCGAATAGCCTTATTATTTTGCAAATTAGGCTCATTTTGAGAACAATGTGCTTCTTGTTGAAAAAAACAGCATATGCTGGTTAAGTATGTTTTGATGCTGGTTTATGCTGGTCCTTTTGGGAGCTTAAAACCAGCTAAAGGACAAGCATAAACCAGCATTGGACCAGCATAAACCAGCAAAGGACCAGCTTAAACCAGCAAAAGGACAAGCATAAACCAGCATTGGACCAGCATAAACCAGCATTGGACCAGCATAAACCAGCAAAGGACCAGCTTAAACCAGCATGGGACCAGCATAAACCAGCATTGGACCAGCTTAAACCAGCATTGGACCAGCATAAACCAGCAAAGGACCAGCTTAAACCAGCAAAAGGACCAGCTTAAACCAGCAAAAGGACCAGCTTAAACCAGCAAAAGGACCAGCTTAAACAAGCAAAGAACCATCTTAAACCAGCAAAGGGACCAGCATAAACCAGCATCCCAGCGTCAAAACATACCTAACCAGCATATGCTGGTTTTTTCAACAGGGAAGACGGTCAAGTTGGTCTCACAGCCTGGTCAAGCTGATGTTTAGCTGGTTAGATCAGTCTGAACAGAAGTGGTCAAATCCCCTCAAAAACCAGCCTGCTTAAACCAGCTATGACTAGACTTAAACACCAGCCAACCAGCTTAGGCTGGTTTCAGCCGTTTTTCAGCAGGGATGGTAATGCTACGCTTATTTTGAACACAGATTTTGGATAATACTGCAGTAAATACACATGATAGTAAAGTGTTGTTCTTTGAAGCTCATGAGTACCATGTAAAAATCTTGGTATATGAATATGGCAGTCATTTAGTGCTATGGTAAATATGCAAAACTCTAACCAAAAATGGTTCTTCCACAATTTTGTAAGTGATTGAAACATTTAATTAGAAATAGCTGGAGGAAAAAAAAAAAATAATAATATATATATATATATATATATATATAACAAGTTCTATGATAATACATTGGAATATGAATAAATGGAATGGTAATTTCCTTTAATTTATTTGATGTAATTTCCCTATTTGTTCAGATATCCTTTATACCAGCTTGGTAACCCACAGCTGAGAATATTCCGGCCCACCTTCAACCTGACCCTGGTCAGACCCGGCAAAGAACAGCCACCTGATACAGTACAGTATCGCATTCCTATGGAGTAAGTATTTAATGTCATTTACATCAATCAAACCAATTGTGTCACTGTTAAGTTGAAAGTTTACAATGATGTAGTTGTATTATTTTCCGCTAGGTGGCAGACAAATCCCACAAATCTATTTCGTCTTGGCCTTGTAAATTGCAGAGTGGGAATCTTATTGCGCATGATGATCACAAAGAATTAAAGCATCTTAAGTGATGCTTAACTATAATTGCAGACCGGTTAGATGCAACACAGCATTTCGTAACAAAACCCGGGATGACGTTTCCGTGTGCGGTTGCATGGCTGATGATGCCTCGGAGCTCCCTTGCCTCTCTCAAGATTTGTTTACAGCTCTTTCACCTACTTAAAATCCGACATCTCGTTCCTTTATTGATGACGTTTGTTAAACGTCACTAAAAATACAGCCGTAATTATTGCATTGCTGCGGTGTAATACGAAACAGGCAGTCAGACTGTTAATAACGGGTCTAATCGGAGTCCACGCAAGAAAAGAGGACAAAGTCTGCTTTGTCTTCTGGAGAACCTCAGGGCGTACATCTAAAGCAGTGACGGTGGAGCCTTGTTCCTCAGTTATTATTCCGCCAGTATGTGTTCCAAACCGCACACGTTTGTAATCGGGCTATATGTTATCACATGCACAAGTGCTCAGAGGAAGCTTTTTTTTTTTTACCTGCTTTTACTCCTTTGTTTTTACAAACTGTTTTGTGATTTTAAGTGTCTCAATCTGCACCGGGCATCCTTGTCACCTGCATCTAAACATTTTGTGCCTGTGCAATCAAAGGAAGAGGTGTTTTGGAACCACTGCCGCCTTATTGGACATCAAGAACTGTTTTGTCTCCTCCGGAGCTGCGTTTGACACAGTCCCATCGCAAATAGTATGAAAGTAGACAAAGCAACAGAGGTATCATTTAAACATCCCCCTCTTCACTTTCTACTTTTCAAAGATACCCTTCATTTTGGCAAAGAGTTGTTTTGCTTGAAACCAACCTGGTTTGCATAGTGATTATCAGGGTCAAAGAATTTCAAAGCACTTGTTTTTGTGAAAGAGGGCCTCTTTACAAAGTGTTTGTACTTGCAGGATTTGTTTAACCTCGTTTATTTACCATCCTATGTGCCTTTTAAGTATTTGATCCATCATCAACATCTTTCATCTTTTTATTTGCTTTCTTTTTTGAATAATTTCATTTTAATGATCTTTTCTTAGTTCATTAAAGCTATTTGTCCACTCTCTTGCCGCCTTTATAGTCCCACTGGTGTGAATGTAACCTAGAGGTCACCGGCTAACAAAAGAGCCCCCTTTTTTTGGGGATTTCCTCAAAATTTGGAGTGTTTTGTCCCTCTGCTTCTGAGTCACCTACTTGGAAAGCCTTTGAAATGGGTGGTGTGAGTGCACATGTTTAGAGATGAGCGTGGACTGTTTATGTGTGAAGGGTGGGGCGCAACTCGCAGTAGAGAGGATTGAACAACAAGGAGGTCTCTATCTTTATAAGACGTCAGCGCTTACAAAAGATAAGCCACACAGGCGCAAGGCACTGTTTACATCTGCTGAAGGTCATGACCGTGTTGCCCAGTGCTTCATTTAATTGATTCTATGAAGTGGAACTGAGAAGCATTGTCCAAACAGATTTACAGTATAATTTAAGTGATTATTAAAATTGCAATTAAATGACTTGTCACTCTTCACTGTTTTGTCTTCATGTATGGGATTCCCATTTGTTTTTGTTTTGCTTGTTTGTTTTGTTTTTGGGCCAAACCTCTCTGACCTATTTTTTTTTATACTTAATATTTCAATAATTCAACAACACTATATTGATTTATTTAAATGTTATAATGAAAGTAAATAAACAATTTTAAACTAAAAACAATATTACGATTTAATCAATTATTACAAACCCCCTGCAGTTCCCTCATTAACCCACAGGGGTTTGCGAACCCCAGTTTGGGAAACCCTGCTCTGTATGATAGATGAAGTGGAAAATTATACAAAATTATCATCGAAAATATGATAGGAATATGTTGTAGGCCAAACTCAGACCTCGATTTCCCACATTAAACAGCAATTTAAAACGCTTAACACTTTTGTTTTTCTGCCTTCCAAGTAGACATGTGCCGATTACCGGTTTCAAGGTATACCGCGATTTGAAAATGTCATGGTTTCAAAACCGCTAATATTTTCCGTTATACCGTTCCTGCGGTATGTGCTGTTTTTCATGTCTCCTCAAAGACTGAAAGTGTAGGAATCCCTCAGGTTGAGTGCAGTGTAGAGAGTAACACGACCCTCCTCCTCCTGTTGGTGCGAGCGAGCGGTCACCCTGACGTTTTTTGTCTTATTGCAAGCAACTCGTCTCTGTTCTGGACTTGCACAAACTGCGTTGCAATGCAATCGTTTTCCAAAATGTCATTTATGTGAAAATATGAAGTCTATAAACAGCCGTTAACACAGGCCAGAGATGCTGAAGACAGACGCACAGAGAAAAATACTGTAGCAGGCAGATCACTCACTGTTCATGATGCATGAACTATTGGAAGAAAATCCTCAATATTGATTTGGGGGTTTATATGAATGTGTTTCTGAGGGGAACTGACTGTCTTCAGAAAGGTTTACGTGGTATTTTCTTTTCATCTCGTCTCTGTATAGTTCATATTATAGCAGTGTTTCAGCAGTGCTGCTGTGTTTACAGCGGTAACCAAGGAATCGCCGTATCTGGTGTTCCAGAAGCGCCTCCTGCTGTCAGAGAGTGAATCTGCGTCTCATTCAGAGCTCCTGCTGTTTGTTTCATTCAGGCATGTAGTATAAGTTCACAAAGCTTGTCAGAACATTGTTTTTGCTTCAAATTGGGTTATTATTAAATCAAATTATGTATATGAAATTATATAACGAAATTATATGTATATGAATTATATAACTAAAATTAAATAACTGGAATTACAGATTTTTGGCAGAACTGTCGAGGTCACCAGGAGGCCGGAACTGAAAAAAAGATTTAGATGTCAATCTTTATTCTTCTTTTTAGGAAACAAATCAAAGAAAAAATAAACAAATTCTACTGTTCCTAATATTCTATATGTTGCTCGAAAACAAAATATGTTGTGTTCAGCGGAAATTATTTATATTTTTTTTACCCAGTCGTTTAAAAATAACAAATTTTAGAGCTGTAATGACAATACCGTGAAACAGTGATATTTTTGCTTAAGGTTATCATACCGTCAAAATCTCATACTGGCCCATGGCTACTTCCAAGGTAAAGTGTCAAACATGTGGCCTAGTGAATGCATTTTCCAGACGCATTGAGCTCATGTGGGGTCGAGTCCAGTCAGTTTGTTTTGCTCCTCTGACCTAAGCTATTTACTATTATTTACTATTTACTTAATATTTCAACAACAATTTTTTACACAATTTAACAAAATATTAAATCTTTTTAATACGTGTTTCAATTAGATATAATTTTTATTAGAAGTGTTTTTATTTTTAAATAATGTTTCAATTATACAATATTATGAATTAATCAATTATGTTTTCATCAACCCCCAGAGGTTTGCAAACCCTTTTATTTTTGCAATATTTTGTCACTCTTCACTATTTTGTCTTTGATAGATGAAGTGGAAAATGTGATTAAAATTATCAAGGAAAGAAAAAAAAAAATGGAACATGTTGCAGGCCAAATTCGACCCTGCATTTCCCATCTGAGCACCAAGTCTCAATGTGATGGTTTTTCTGCCTTCGTAGGTGAGGTCGTAGAGATGTGGCCTAGTGATCTTTATTAATTTTCCAGACACATTGAGCTGTGCTGCTCATGTGGGATTGAGTCCAGTCAGTTTGCTTTGTCCCTTTTGACCGAAAATGTTTTATTCTGTTACAACTTAAATATTTCAATAATTTTAAACCTTTTACACAAATGTAACAAAATATTAAATATTTTAGTAAGTGTTTTATCCTGAATATTTTCATTTTTTAAATTATTTAATTATACAATGTTATGATTCATCAACTGACAAACCCCCAGGGGTTCACGGACCCCAGTTTGGAAAACCCTTTAATTTTTGCATTATTTTGTATATATTTAACAGATGACGTGGAAAATGTCAGTAAATTATCAAGGAAAGAAAGAAAATAGCATTGGAATATGTTGCAGGTCAAACTCAAACCAGCATTTCCCAAGTGAGCACAAAGGCTCAATGTGATGGTTTTACTGCTTTACTAGATGAAGTCTCAAAAATGTGGTCTAGTGGTTTTAAAGGGTTAGTTCACCCAAAAAGGAAAATTAGCCCATACATTACTCACCCTCAAGTCATCCTAGGTGTATATGACTTTCTTCTTTCAGACGAATCCAGTCGGAGTTATATTAAAAATTGTATTTGATCTTTCAAGCTGTTTAATGGCACTTAGCGGGCGTTGCATGCATCAGTCCAAAAGAAGTTAAATAAAAAGCGCCCGTCCATTCTCCGGGGGGTGAAAAAAGGCCTCCTGTAGCGAATCAATGCGATTTTGTAAGAAAAATATCCATATTCAAAACGTAATAATCACTTTAATGTAGCTTGCGTCAACAGTCCTACACGGAAGCAGTTCCGGGCGGATGACGTATGAGGTCGGCTTTCCGCATGCGCCGCTCAGAAGTGACGAACGCGTAGAGATCAAATCAAAACAACGGTCACTTATTAGAAGTACAAAATGAGGATTTGTAAAGAAGAATGTCGGAGGATTTCGATATGAGCCAAGAGGAGACTGGTTTTCCTTTGCTAAAGTAAGGAAACTTTGCTTCCTTTGCTCCTGTTAACAAACGTTGGTTTTCACAAGACTCACCGGCACATGCGCAACGCTGCCCTCATACCTCATCAGCCCGGAACTGCTTCTGTGTACAACTGTTGGCGCAAGCTACATTAAAGTGATTATTACGTTTTGAATATGGATTTTGAATAACGCATTGATTCGCTACATGAGGCCTTTATTCACCCCCCAGAGCCATGTGAGACACTTTTTTTTTTAATGGATGGGCGTTTTATTTAACTTCTTTTGGAATGAAGCACTGCAACACCTGCTGAGTGCCATTAAACAGCTTGAAATATCAAAGACCATTTTTTTTATATAACTCCAACTGGATTCGTCTGAAAGAAGAAAGTCATATACACCTAGGATGACTTGAGGGTGAGTAATTTATGGGCTAATTTAAATTTTTGGGTGAACTAACCCTTTAATGCATTTTCCAGACACATTGAGCTGTGCTGCTCATGTGGGGTCGATTCCACTCCACATCCATTCCCAATCCTCCATAAAAAGCCTAAAAAGAGACTGACAGAAAATTAGATCTTGTCATTTAACTCATACATTACCATCAGATGCTCCAGCTCTATACAGCACTAGACGTGGATGGGGAAGCAAAGGTCCTTCCTGTTGGCAGAACTGTCGAGGTCACCAGGAGGCCGGAACTGAAAAAGATCTCACCTTCTCCACTCCAAGATCTCAAGAAGCACTTGGGTCTGCTAACTATTCGTCTCACTGTGGCTCAAGTGCTCTGCTCTCTAGGAATCGTCTCACTCTCTCACTTTCAGACAAACGCGCTTGTACGCATCTCCTCTCTCACATAAATTACGTGGCCAAAACTCCACTCCACTTCATTGAAATCTGAGCATCACACTCTGGTGCTGACTCGGAAAGATGTGCGTACAATACTCTTTCCGAACGAGCATCTGTTTGTTGGGTTTCTTGGAATCTTGGAAACTTACAAAAGAAAAAAAAATTACATGGACTGACTTGTGAACAAACATCCTTGTTTTTCAAATCAGTTCATTAGTTCATTACCGTTAGCTCCGGCATCATATTTTCTGAATGGTTCTCGTTGGGTTTTCAGTAACTGAAAACATAATGATACAATTTTGTTTTGTTTGTTCATGAAAGCATGTCACAAAAGGCATTTTACGTCATTTCAGTCCTCGAAAAACAGAATTTAAACGTGGGGTTCTCAGCCTTAGGGTCTCCAGAGATGCAGATGAACGTAATTTGCCTCCTGTGAGATTCTAAAGCGTTCATCTTTAATTTTGTAATGTAGGTGGGTGGGATGGGGTTGTGGGGTCACAAGAATTTTGGAACTTAAAAGATGGATTGTGGACCAAAAAAAGGTTGGGAATCTCTGTATTAAATGCTTCCATATGACATGAATCTTAAGGTCTTACTTCAATACGCCATAGATTCTCATATTTTGTTCTCTTACTCCATGGCAACTCTGAACCTCTATCCGTTTCAATTTTCTTCAAGAATGACCAAGTTTGATGTCAGAAATTATCTAGAGAAGATCTACAGCGTTCCTGTTGCAGCTGTACGCACAAGGATCCAGTACTGTGAGTATGCCATTATATTTGATCTAGAGTGATTAATTACAAATTTTAAAGCAGGTTTTTGCAGTTTGTTTTTATTAAAACATTTTATTACAAGACAAAATTTAAATATATATTTTATCCTATTTACTGTATATGTAAACAGTTTCATGTATGCCATTTCTCGGCTGATGTTTTAAAACGTGTAAAACTATCTGTGATTATGTGATTATGATTTTGTTTGCTAAATTAGAAGTTTTTTGCATTTTTTTATTATTAAATTATGTTTGCGTTTCTGTTGGTAAATCGGTAATACCAATTTAAATAACACAGCTTTATTTGAAAAAGAAACATTACGGTGTTAAACTTCCAGTTGCATCAAGTGTCAGATCTTTTTAGTATCTTGTGCTCTAATAGTTGCATTTTTAAGATGAATTGATTAGAAATAATCTCTTTCTAGATTAGAAAGAGTGTCAAGGCCTCTCCATTCTGGTCCATTCCAGTACATTCCGCTGTTTTTGTATGCGAGATGCATACATATGCATGTCTTGTGAGCCCCCCTTCACTCTTTTGCACCTCTGCTCACTCTGTTTTGTGGTCGACTTGCCTAACAACGCAAGCCAAACTCAGCTGACATTAGCAGTGCCATCAACTGGCCTGAACTTTATGAAGCACTTATACAACAACTCGCCAATGTTCTATGTTTATCACTTGTGTTTGCGCTCCTGGGGTGGTCGGTCACCTAGATAGGGGTAGTATGAGTGTTAGTCAGTGAGAATGATCAATACTGACAAGATGTTTTGGAGATACTTGACAGCCGAGCGGGAGTTTGAATTTTATGTATAAACATATGGCTAATTCAGGGAACTGTGTTTTGCGGAATTCAGACCAAGTGGGAGACACTAAGGGGAGGGAAGGACAGGGAAGTGAAGGAAAAAGTGGTTCGTGTGATTCCACTCACAGCTGCTTATCTCGCCATCCATGGCTGTAGCGTTCCAGTCGACAGTTGTCCTAGGATGCCCTGCCCTGTTTATTTCTTCACAAAGTTTGCCAGAAGTGTTACACAACCGTTTAAAAAAAAAAGTATTGTCATTATTATAGGAGTAATTCACCCAAACCAGAAACTTTCGTCATTTAGTTATTCACTATCATGCCATTACAAACCTGTAGGCTCAACACAAAAGGATAATTTTTAAAAAATCTTCACACAGCTCTTTTTCATACAATGACAGTTCATAATGAATCACATCTGTAAGGTGCCAAAAATAACCAAAAAAACCTCAAAAGGTCCTGAACCCACATTACAGCTTTGTGCGAGAATCACATTGAAATATAAAGATTCAGAAGAATCTTCAAAAGAAAATGTATGTTGTTGGTCGTACTTCAATATGTTTTATTTATTTATTTAGACCTTGTCATTTTTTTTTAATCGAAATGTGATAATCCTCTACCTGTAAAACATCAGACTTTTGGCAAAGCATGTCATGCTTCTCCAATCATTTTGTCTGAATAAACTCCACCCCTTCTTACAATAGAGTGCATTAGTCCCTGCCCCTTTTTTCAGCTGCATCTTTTTCCATTTATTTTTCACATATGGATTTTAAAAACGTCTTTGTTTAAAGCTCTATAAGCCATGAACCAAGCCAACCAGCTATGATGTTAATCACAATAGTACAAACTTTGTATTGAAGCAAAAAGGACAATGAAAATGACAAAAACACAAAGGTACAAGACCTTGTACTTAACAGCTCTGAGTCCAGTGTTGGGCAGTAATGCATTACTTAGTAAGGCGTTACTGTAATTGGATTACTTTTTTAGTAACGGCGTAATTTAACGCGTTATAATTTTCAAAATAGTAATTAGAGTATAGTTACAAGCCGATGTCTATACGTTATTACCGCGTTACATTGCTGACAGAATGCAGTGATTTATAATCTAGATTGTAAAAAGGGTGAAGCTCACACACTGTCGAGTCAAGTGCCAGTGGATTAGAGACCTGCTCTCCCGTGAGACCCGACGCAACAGCGGGACAAGACTTGATAGGCGAGTGCAGAGACTCGTGTGTGTGCGGAATGCGGGAGACTAAAATTATTCACGGGACTCCCGCACAATAGAAATATCTAAACATAAAATATCTGAAACAAATAAATTGTTATTCATCTATTGCAAAAAAGCAACATGAACTAATATAAACGATTAACAGGTGCAAGCGAATGCAGAGTTTCTATTTAGGCTATAACACGTGTTTGCAGCGTTGAGCAATTCAGTGCTGAAATTTGCGTGCTCACGATTCCTCTCATTATAACACGAATTGTAGACGTTATGAGAGATTCATTATGCATATATTTATAGTGTTATAACAGAGATTTGTGAGATTGTGATGAACTGAGATGTGTTTTAGAGATTATAAATGCAGCGCTCTTTGCTTGCATTCTGCCAAACCAAACCATGCACGCAGCAGCCGCTTGCTTTAGTTAAAAATAACAGTGTTCTGTGAATGTTGATGCTTTAATAACAAATATTTATCGGGAGCGTGTATGCTGGGATTTCATAAATTTCATGGAGAAAAATGTAATGTAACTTGTAATGTAACTAATTACTAATTGCTTTTGAAATAAAGTAATCAGAACAGTAACGTGATTACTTTTAAAAGGAGTAATCAGTAATCAGTAATTTGATTACATTTTCAGAGTAACTTGCCCAACACTGTCAGAGTCAAAGATCTAAAATCCTTTGAACCTTGGTGAATGACAGAAATGTAAAACTATCCATTTAAAGTTGTTGATTGTACATAGAAACAATATATTTTAAAGGTTGTTTTTTTTTTTGTGCAAAATATGCACATACTGTATATTTTATATTACATAACTTGTAGTTCTTCATTGGAGTGGGGTGGAGCTCTGCGCTTGTTTAGCACAATTTGCTTGCTGCGTCTCTCTGATTATTATTGTAGTTTGGTGATGTAGTTTTTCACCAGGGACTCAGCTGTTAAACTTTTTTTATGATTGTTTAAAACATCAGTTGAATAATGCAAACTGATAGCTTCAGCATTGTTAAAAATCCTATGGAGAAAATGAATGCCGTTTTTACTTCCAGAACCAGACTATTGTGCTCTATAGACTGCAAGCTCGCATTCAGATCTGTCTCCATCCAACCAACAACCAATGGATAGAAACATTCAAGATGTTTAGGCATAATCGGTTTTGAGCTTTTTCTTTTCAGTGAACTGGTTGATCTGGTTGGCAAACCGGGCAAACAGTTCATTCACAAATCTAAGTTCTGAACTCAGTGACTCAATGATCTGTTCGCAGTTCTCAAGTTAACAGTTTACTGTGGGGAAGATGATCAGTGAATAGAATTTAGGTCTGTTCCTCACAAAAATATCCAAAATATTGTATGACTTCAGAAAACATTGAATATAGTACTTGGGTTGTATCGACCACTTATAATGGTGCTTTTAGGATTTTTTTTTTTTAGCTTAACAGCTGTGGCCACTTTGAGCTGTCATGGTATGGAAAAGATTTGCATACACTTTTTTTTTATTTTTTTTTATCTAGTTTTCCATATAAAAAAAATAGGCCATATGGGTTTGGAACAACATGAGTGTGACTAAATTGCATAATTTAAAAAATGGAACTATTCCTTTAAAGCATAAAGGTTACGGCAATATAACATAAACAATAATGCCTAAGGGTAAGTAAATAATGCTGGGGCTATTACAGGCTTTACCGTCTGGTTAACGCAGAGGGAACCACTTTTACGAGCTGCCAGTTGGGTTTACGCCACTGGTAGTTTTCCGTGTGGTTTCCACACCAACGCTGGAGAGGGCAATAAGAAAAGTGGCCATTTTTACAGCCACAACGTAAAGGCAGAAAAAAATGCGGAACACCCATTAGGTGAAATAGACCACGTCAGGGAAGGTGTCCCGCTCTGCGTCATGGGCTCCACTCCACTGAAGGTTTAAAGGATGTGGAGAAAAGGGGGGCGCGGGTGGAACCCCCGGCCTCAAGGCGTCTATTCTTTTTCCTACTGAATATTTTGGAAGGGGTTTCTATAACTACCCCTCAGGCCTGGGATTTGTAACATAATAGTAGCCAGCCAACACACAACCTCAAAAGAGAGCTTGATTGAATATTTATTTATACTATATAATGCTTGGTGGGAGTACGGGAATGGAAAAAGGGTTCGCATACATGAACAAAAGCGCTTCTCACCTATTTTGTGGGTTGACCGTTCATTTGACCCTAAATGGAGGGAGTGTTTGTGTGTTTAGGGTTTCCTTGTACTAGTAAAGGAAGACTGCCAATCCTGTTTAAGAAAACTCATCACACAGGTCATCATTTAAACTTTTCTGTTGAGCAGGTTTTAAAGGGTTAGTTCATACAAAACTGAAAATTAGCCCATAAATTACTCGCCCTCAATGCATCCTAGCTGTATATGACTTTCTTCTTTCAGACGAATCCAGTCAGTGTTATATTAAAAATTGTCTTTGATCTTCCAAGCTGTTTAATGGCACGCAGCGGGTGTTGCAGTGCATTAGTCCAAAAGAAGTGAAATAAAAATGGTCTCACACGGCTCCGGGGGGTGAACAAAATCCTCCTGTAGCGAATCGATACGTTTTTGTAAGAAAAATAATCATATTTAAAATGTAATTATCAATTTAATCTAGCTTGCGCTCACTGTTGTAAACGGAAGCAGTTCCGGGCGGATGACGTATAAGGTTGGCTTTCCGCATGCGCCGCTCCGAAGTGACGAACGCGGAGAGATCAAAACAAAACAACGGTCATGAATTAGAAGTACAAAACGAGGATTTGAAAAGAAGAATGTCGGAGGATTTCGATATAAGCCAAGAGGAGACTGGGTTTCCTTTGCTAAAGTAAGGAAACTTTGCTTCCTTTGCTCCTGTTAACAAACGTTGGTTTTCACAAGACTCACTGGCACATGCGCAATGCTGACCTCATACCTCATCAGCCCGGAACTGCTTCCAGTGTACAACTGTTTGCGCAAGCTACATTACAGTGATTATCAAGTTTTGAATATACTGTAGATATTTTTCTTACAAAAATACATCGATTCGCTACAGGAGGCCTTTGTTCACCCCCCGGAGCCATGTGAGACTTTTTTTATGGATGGGCGCTTTTTATTTCACTCCTTTTGGACTGAAGCAATGCAACACCCGCCGAGTGGCATTAAACGGCTTGAAAGATCAAATAATTTTTTTTTAATATAACTCCAACTGGATTCGTCTGAAAGAAGAAAGTCATATACATACTGGTAATGTATAGCCTGAATGCACTGTAAGTCGCTTTGGATAAAAGCGTCTGCTAAATGCATAATTCATAATTTAATAATAATTTATTATTAATTACAGTGGGGCAAAAAAGTATTTAGTCAGCCACCAATTGTGCAAGTTCTCCCACTTAAAAAGATGAGAGAGGCCTGTAATTTTCATCATAGGTATACCTCAACTATGAGAGACAAAATGAGAAAAGAAAATCCAGAAAATCACATTGTAGGATTTTTAAAGAATTAATTGGTAAATTCCTCTGTAAAATAAGTATTTGGTCACCTACAAACAAGCAAGATTGAATTTAATTTGTGTATTTATTGGTCTTTTTTGGAGCTAAGTAGACATGGTCACTATGAACTTGTAGTATGAAAAACTATACATTTAAACTTTCTGACTGAATGAAGCAAATGTCATGCTGTAAAGATATTTTAATGTAAAACATGTTTTTAATGATTTAATCTTTTTATTCTTGTTTTTTGGAAGTGATTTGGTTCAGATGTACTTCTTGACTTCTTTTTCTGGGTTCTTGTGAATATTACCCAGCAGGCTTTGTGCAATTACATCATGGCTAGCTGGGAAAAGGTTAACATGCATTCCACGGTTAACATGACTGAAAACATGGGCTTCTTAACAGATAACCCCAACCCCCTGTTACCCTAAAATACATATTGGGTATCTAAGATATTCTGCAAAAAATAACAATCTTCTTTGAAGGTGTAATTCTGTCAATGTAAATATACCCAGCTGCAACACAGTTGGAGAGGTGATTTTTATATCACCTGAGGTCTTACTATAATTATAAAAATTTGTTACATTTATATAGCGCTATTCTGGGTACTGAAAGTGCTTTACATGCTAGGGGGGAATCTCTTCAACCACCACTAGTCAGCATTACTCAGATATTACTGGTTGATTTGTTAGTTGTTAAACACATTGATAGTATTTGCTTTGTTGCAGTATGCTTTATTTTTTAGACATGTAAAAACAAGTAGTTTTCATTAACTGTGTATCTGCAATTTGTGCCTCCTCTAGTGCCACCAAACATAATTGTTTACTAAACACATAATTTCTAAATGAAATTCAAAATAAGTGTTATATTACGGTATTGAGAATGAGCAATTGTAAATTAATAATAATTACAATAATCTTTTAGCTAAATATTCATCACCTCCTTTTTTCTTCTATCAAGGTACAAACAAGAAACGAAACCACTCAAACCAGCGAGTGAAGAGGCCAGATTACAAAGTGGCATACGTTCAACTGGTGAGTGTTATTCTGTTGAGGCCTAGATTAGAAAGTGCCTGACATTCATTGTTAAAGTCCCTGTGTGTACCTGTGGTCTCTTCTGTCCATCTTGATTTTCAGAAAATGCCCCCAACATTAGCACAGGACCATTTAAATTCCCTTTTTAAGACTTTATTGATTATGGGTGCTTGGGTCAGATGGATTGTTTTAGTTGAAGTTATTGAACAAAACGAGAAATGGGATGCTTGGGTATTTAAGCCCTGCATTTTTGTTTCTTTGTTTTGAGGGCCCATCACAGCTTATATTCCCTTAAAAAAAAACCAAGGCACAGGTACTCTTTGATGCGAAACCTCACCTTATTGTGTTCGACTCCCTGAGTCCCATCGCTGCTTGTTTAGTTTCTGTCTCTCCCACATATTCGCCCCTGCCCTCCTGAGAAAGGCGGCAGTTTGGGTTCTGGCTTTGGCCAAGAAGGCAAGAGGTCGTCTTTGGTTACATGCCAGACTTTGTGCAGGAATTATAGTACAAAGTTCTCAGAGAGCTATGGTTATTATCATGGGCGGATGGGAGAGTTGTTTCTTGGGGCATCAGAACGTTAGCATTGGTCGCGATCCAGTGGCAAATCGCGCTGCTGGGTTCACACCTGTTTTGGGGCAGAGCCCTGGGCTGTTGATACCGACCGTGTTTGAAGTATGCTGGCATGAAAATACCTTAATCTGATCTCCGTTGATTCATTTGTGAAAGCTGCTTTTGTTTCTTTACGGTTTTTAGTTTTCAAGAGAAGCATTGGATTGTTTGCTCTCTTTTTTTCAGCCATCAATCAAAGCAGGGATAAATAATTAAACTTGTCAAAACAGAGCGGCTTGTAATGGGATACACAAGCAAAACACAAATTAATATTTAAAGGTGAACTTCCGCTTGACAAGAGTTGAATGACTTCCTGTGTGGCTTTGCGCCATCTATTTAACCTTCTCATAAACCCAGTTAGGGACTTGGATCCAGAGAATTACTGCATCCTGTTCCTAACATTTGTCGTCTTTCAAATGCAGTGCCATATTTGCTTAAACATTTCTGGAGAGAACTACGTCCTTGTTGTCCAATCTTTCAGAAAGTCATGCTTATTTATGTGTGAATAACATGCAAGCTAAAAAATCTCAGACCGCGGCGAAAAACACTGATATGAAACCACATTTCCGGCTTCTTTCTTCTCCTCCAGCAGGTCTGCAAAAAAACACTGCCCAAGAAAAGCCCTCCTTTCTTTTCAGTGGTGGGTAAAAACAAGATTGTTCCTAATTGACACCACATGTGGGAGAGTGTTCTGTGGTTGGATACCCTCAACAGTTCCCCCCGCCAGCCCTTCCCCCCCAACGCACTATATCAGCTAATATTCCAGAGGCAATACGGTGAGGAACGCTCTCTACGACTCCGAACCCCCCAGATTTTACAAACTCCAGGCTTGTTGAAAAAGCCGTCTGTTAGTACGGTTCCTTGATGGCCACTCTCTCATCAGACCTCCCCACGGTGGGGAGGAGTGCGGGAGGAGAGAGAGTTAATCAAGGAGGAGGAGGGGGTTACAGATGGAGTCGACACATGAAGCAAGGTGAGCGAGGGCACCATGGAGCCGTGCCAGAACAGGGAGGTCCAGACAGGGGTCAGGGAAATCTTAAGCAACATAAAATCTTGAGACAATATCAAGGTTTTACGTACGACTGCTTTGCAAGTAACGCTCTAGTTAAATGAAATGATATCCTGTGCTTCCCTTTGCAAGGCTGTGACCTGTTCGGTCCTGGTATAAAGGTTCTGTTTGTTGATGTTGCGTCTGCAGTTTCCCGAGCTGGCTGGCGTAATGCACATAGCACATGTTATTGTATAGACGCTCCCTATCAGAATCACTTACCCCCTACACTGAATTTCACTGATCTGTAATGTTGTATAATTGCCATTTTGCTTAACTATATACCTCATTGAAACAGATTTTGGGGAAACACTCCAGCTTGCCCACTTGTCCATAACAACTGTTTATATTGCCCCCCTACCACCCTGCTTTTTCCACAAGGGTCTTGTTGCAGGCATCAGTATTTGGCAAGACAAGGCAACTGTTGTTGGTACTAATGGATGTTTGTTGTTGTTTGAAAGCTTGTTGCCGAGTCGTTGTTTTTTGGGGCTGTGTTTCGGTCTGGATCAGCTGGTAGCCAGGCTACCTTTCAGATCAGATCGCAATGTTCCACCTGAACTTGTGAGCACACACTGCTCAATTACCACTCAACGAAACCAAGTGAAACTCAACCATGCTAAGACATGCTATTATTTTTCTATTCAAATGGGTTCCTTCCTGTTACACACATCTCCCCCACTGATTGCCATGCACAAATTAACACCCTTTCCGTTTTTGCTGTTTTAAATCGATGGCTTGTGAAAGTTCACATTGTGATCTTATCAACACTAGATGGCAACGTTTGGCTTCAGTGGTGCTGAATGAATGTAGGGCCCTACAACATTGCTGTCATGTATTCCTTGCAGTTCAGAGTACTGTAAGCCAAAGTAATTCACGTGTTGCATGCCTTCGAACACTTTTGAAATATTAATTTCACAAGCATTGAGAGAGTTAAGTTTAGAATTGTAAAATAGAAAAGGAATTAGGTAAGTTTGTCATTTAGAAAAAGTACTCACTAAGTTATTGTATAATAGAATAGATAGGTACAAGGTAAGTGTATCATTTAAAAAGACACAAGTTAGGTTTATTGTTGCACTGTAGAATAGCAAAGGCACAAGGTAAGTTTGTGTTTTAGAAATTCTATTGTAAATTTGTCATTTAGAAAATGTACGAGGTAAATTTGTAATTAAGAAAAGGTATGAGGCACATTTATAATTGAATTTTGCAGAACAGAAAAGTTACGAGGTAAGTTCATCAATTAGAAAAGGTACAAGGCCAGCAGACGTGAGCAAAGGAGGTGATATTGAAGCCCTGCCTCCACCTCCACTCCACGTCCTTTATGAGCTGTATTTCTTGCATTTCCCTCAAGTCACTCTCATTTAGTATTACTACAAACACTCATTGTCACGAAACACCATTCTTTTTCCGCCCCATTACTGTTTTATCAGTCTCCCGATGTCCAGGCACCACCCAGCTTTATTTCTGTATCATTTTCAAAATAAATTACACAGAAACTAGCAATGCTTTTCCTGTTATGGTACCACCTCAATTTTCCTGCTTCTGTCTCGGTCTCTCACTATTCCTTTCCCCCTCTCTTTTCTTTTGTGTGTTTTGAACACTGGAGATTGACGGAGAGGTTCAGGACCCTACATGCAAAAGTAAGGGGTTATCTTTGATTGCTGTTGACAGGGTCCAATATCCTGGGGAACCAAAAAATAGCCAGGACTTGGGCAAGTCTGAACAAGTCGACCGGTCACAACTGTCATCACTGCAAACATGGAACGAGTGACTCAGTGGCTTAAAATTACATGAAGGCTTATACTGCTCTGAATGGAGACTTTGCCACCCCTTTAGACTGACCGCTTGGCTTGACCGTAATGATTTAACAAGCCAGACTGTGTGCCAGCCGATTGTCTACGCCCGTGTGTACGAGAAACAGTTCCCCAGTTGCAGTGGAAACCTGCTTCTGTTTTACAGTAATGGGTACAAAAACATCTGGCTTATGGCTGTCCTCATCGAGGAAATATAATATGCTTTGTTTAACTTTTCCCTCCACACACTTTTCCCTGGTGTTGAGGATTCATTAGAGTGGTTTTGGGAACAAAGGCTCTGGACCCCCACACATGTTTGGCAAGGCAGCTGTGTCTTGGCATGGGGAATGCATTGCATGAATCATGTTCTCTACTGCTGTGGCCAGTCAGGTTTTGACAGCTGGGTCACTATACCCATGCCCGAAGGAAGCGTTTATGCACAAACGCTGGTCCTCTTCTGGGAGGCAGTCAAGGCGTCCGAGTGAAGCAGAGCAGACAGACAGACTGGCACGGGCCCAGATAGGCCTCAGATGGGCCAAATCCTTGGTTCTCTCTGAAACGCTTTACATTAGCACTATTGGTCTGTGCTGTTTTTCACAGAGGGTGCAACAAATTCGGATACAAAGACTGACCAGTGCTTTTGGTGTAATAAACTTGCCTCATTCGTGTAATTCCATACCTGTTGTAGTAGTCAACTTTTTTTGTGCTTATGTTACATTTACAAATTTGGCAGATGGTTTTATCCAAAGTGGCTTACATTCAAAGTAAAAATTATTATTTTTTTGCTTCATGGGTTCCCTGGGAATCAAACCCATGATTTTTATTGTTTCTTGAGATCAAATATGAAATGCTACAATAGTCCCATTGTCTATAGTGTTTTTACACATTTTTGGATTGTACATAGGCTGCATTCCACTTAAACACAATCATACTTTTATATAAACAAACCCATCTACATAGCATTTTGTTGGTCACTGTGGTTTAAAGTTTGCACCAAATTTGTGAGTATATTGAGATGGAGTAGAGGTCATGCACTCATTGAGAACATCCGGCTCCTCCCTTGTGGTCAAGTCTGGAAGTTTTCCATTTGTTTGTCCCAACCTGGGTCCTCGCTACTGAGACTAGCCTTGGAATTCCTGTCTAACCATAGAGCTGCCCTGAATTACCACTTTGATTTGTAAGAACCATTAAAGCTACAAATCATCTCTTTATCAGGAGCCTGTCCCCACTATTCCACCATCGTTGTGACTTTTGGCTCAATTCAGGCTCATTTTTTGGTATGGTGTGTGTCAAGGCCAAGAGACATGAGGTGTCTCGGGGCAGCCAAATATCTGGTTAGTGAGTATCGGTTGTCAGTTAAGACTGTGGACTCAGAGGAAGTAGCAGTGTGGCCCACCCAGTGAGCCTGGCAGAGGGAGCTGTTTACAAGCATTTCCCTGCATTTCCTGCTCTCCTGTCTGGTAATGAACTTGTTAATAGACTTCCAACATTATGCAAACATGCCCTCATCATTAAAAGTCCTGAAAATGTGGTCACATACAAAGAATGTCTCAGATTTATACGTTTTGTTTGGCTTTAACTCCTTGGTGCAAAATAAATAAAAATTGTGATCGTTCCATTCTTGCAGCAGTGATTGGCCAAGGGGAAATAGAGATAAGCATGAGAAGAAAAATGAATGTCTCTGAGGAGATATCGGCAAACACCCAGGTCTTGATCCCACTCCCACTGGAGGGTTTTGCTAGTACATTTAAATAGTACAACCTTTTAATTTATACTCCCAAACCAGTTCATTCTGTATTCTTCTGGTACTTGCATTTTTTTTCTGAAGACAGCATGTTAATTATTTTTTCCCCCTCATCTATGGGAATATAAAGAGCATCGGACACATTTAAATTGGAGCTTCTGCTTCTGTCTAATAGTTTAGCCATCGTCATAGAGCAAACAGTGATAAGGCAGCAACTAAAGGGGAGAGGGTGGTGCTTTATGTACGGAAACCCCATCTACTGCTAATCCTTTCAGACTGGCCCAAGTCATGCCAGTTGTTCCTGTTTGACTGATCGTGGAAGTGATTGTGGGATGTGAGTCACTAGAGTTCACCAAGAATGCTAGTGTTAGGGCGGTTACTGATTTGTGGTGACTGCAGACTCTATTCATTGAAACTAACTCTAATAATCTTTAAAGGTGGGCTAGTAAATGCTATATAAATCAGACTTAAGGTGAAGTCTGTGATTTCTGACACTAGTATCACCAAACAGAATTGCCAAAATAAGGACTGTTTCCTGAACACTCCCCCCGATGGGACCAAACTCTCTTTGTGATTTTAAAACGTAAGACAGTACCCAGATTTGAAGACTACAGTAAGATTTAACTTCTACTGTTAATAAGATTTTGGTAGGCTACTATTAGATGGATAGCCTAAATGTCCTAATTCAGATGGGCTACCTGTTTTTTTAATGGAATATCAAAAATGGTATATTTTTTAAATGTAATTGTTGGTACATTTTACCAGTTTTTACCATACTTTCAAAACAAAAATTAAAATAGGAAAAATATGCAATATGAAAATAATTGAAGACAAAATGTGTTTTACTGAGGAAAAAACAAGATTTGTTTTTTAAAAAGCCTTTTTCCAAAAGGTACATCTGGAAAAAGGGGGGTTGTCTTATAATCAGGGTCGTCTTATATTCGAGCCAATACGGTATGTGCCCCCTTTATGAAATATCTTGAGACCAAAAGCAATAATACATATTCACAAACCATTATGAACCAATGTATTTAAATGAAACATTAATGCATTGTTTCCTGTTCTTTTCTTTTACGTTTTTGACATTTACAGTTTTTTCAGTCATTAACTCCTAATATAATTAGAAACTTCTCTTGCTCACAAGGGCTCAGAATGCATGTCTATCCCTCATGTAAAGCCACTGAATGTACAGTTTATGGTGTAAGTTCAGGGCCTGACTTATAGAGGGGTGGAGGAGGGGGAGAGTCGGTTAGTCTAACAGGAACAGATGTTGGGTTGAACCCAACAACAACATTTTTGTTCCATGCTTTAGTCTTCCTTATTTGGATTATTTTACGCACAGGAGTGGGGGGGGGGGGGGGGTAAAAAAAGAAATTCAAAGGGGAAATTTTTTGTTCCATGCTTTAGTCTTCCTTATTTGGATTATTTTACGCACAGGAGTGGGGGGGGGGGCATGTCAAATAAGACATGTCAATGCGTAATTGATGCATCCAGCACTTTCTGGATAATGTATTACATGCTATTCCTAATGACTACTTTTATTACATAATAAACATGAATATGTAGTGCTGCGTTTAAATTTGAAATAGTAATATTAATACTGTTCGTTTAAATCAAACTGCGGAAGTGTTTGCCATAGCCTGAGACAAGAGTTTGTACACATTATGTATAAACATTAGTGCTAGCCAACAATAAGGCACCTGTTTAAGGTACATTAATGTTTCGGTGGACAGTCATGTGGTGACTTGTTTTTGTTAATCAGCCTCTCTGTCAGGGCTTCCAAACTTTTCAACTCCACTCTTGGATTGTCATGCGAACGGGTCCCCCTGCCGGTCTTTAGTCATAGTGGGGGTTTTTTTCAAGTAAAGTTTACTACAGGTGAAGGAACAAACATTTTTTTTGGCATCCATTTTAGTACTCCGTTACTAAGGTCCTGTTTTTAATAGGTTTGGTTCTTGTACTTTCACTTGGCTGGACTCCGTGTTTATAGTGTTTTGCATTCCTAGATGGTAGGGTTGGAGCACCACTGCTGAGCCTTGGAGGCCAAGCTGTTGATTTTAAGTGTTTCACTTGTTTTTTTTCCCCCTCCTTTTTTATTCCACTATTCTTTGGTCATTTTACTCACTTAAAAGTTACTGCATTTGTTACAAAGAACAGGCCAAAATATTAGATCATCCCAGCAGAAGCATTTGTTTCAGAAAGGCACTGCTTTTCATTAACTGTTAACTCACTGCAGTCCCTGTTTCCTCCTGCTGTTGCCACACCTTGTTTTATCTTTGGAACAATATTGATGGTCTCTGGTATGGAGACGTACCAGCAGCACTAGCACATTGTCTCTCTGTATGCACAAGGCATATTCCCCCTTCCTGTCTGTCAAAAAAATTGACAATGTTTTAGAAGGGCCAGACCCCTGAGATATGGTGATCTATTTATTTCTGCAAGTTTTTCAGAGTCAGCATTTGAGAGTAGATCTCCGGTAAAGGGCACTGTGTTCTGTCCAGTGAAGTGAAATTGATGAACAATTTTTGTCAGTAAGATTAAGCATTAAAGATTGTACAAGTGTAGATATTTATTACTTTTAGGAGGAAGCATAATGCATTCTTCAAAACTACTGTTCCACAAAAATTAAATGGAACAACATGGATGACAAAGTTGATGACAGACAGACAGACAATCTTTAAACCTTTAACAATTCCTGCTTTTCTTACAGGCTCAGCAGCAAACCTTCCAGTTCCCAGATATCTTTCCTGAGAAGGATAAGAAGTACGAGGCGGGCTCTGTTGAGGAGATGCAGGAGAAGTTCATGGAGGATGAGCATCAGAGGCAGAAATCAGATCCCAGAAGAGGAGGAGTTACTGAATGGTTTGGCCTCTAGACAGAAAAGTGTTGAATGAAGAATGACTTCAGAGAGACAACCGCTGAATGAAGAATGTGGTGTATTGTAGATTATGTATTTGCACAGGAAGAGCCATTTACAGTGATCTGACCAGCATCCATAGAGGGCCATTTGCAGTGATCTGATCTGACACGATGGAAAGACCAATTGCCTGAGAGAAGGCTTGGAAATCCTTTACTCTATTAGAATCATGTGCTCTGTCAAAGAACGCTGATGTCTACATAGCATAAGATCAATCCTGACCATCTGCCATGTCATGAAAGTCTTTCAGGTTATGTTCTCCTCCCACAGGTCTCAGAAACTTGCTCAAGCAAATGTCTTCCTTGCGAAGTCCTTGAGCATACATGTTTCCTTTTCTTTAAAGTTCCTCCAAATTTTTTTTCTTTTGCCCTCGCTGATCTTCAAGTTCATGAACTACTTGCGGTAAAATGGTCAATCTAATAAAGCGACTCTCCAGTTCTTCGTGCAAAATCATACTCTTAATGTTGTTCCTGAAAGCTCTTTTAAAAAAAGAACTGCATACTTCATTTCCAATAAAACAGTACAGCATGTCTTGTTTTGTGTTTTCTTCAACTTTGTTGGCTCTAGAGTTAGCTATTCCCCACAGATGTGTTGGATAACCGCTTGCCAGCTCTCATACCAGAGCAGCTTACTTCACCCAGCCAACCTGGTGTTCGCCAGGGAGAATATCAATATTGATAACATTTGCCCACTGTTTTGTGCTTGTACTCAAGTACCCCCTGCATTGCAATAAAGCAATTTGATTTAATACAAAAAATACCTTGTAATGGACCAGCTGGACAACAAAGAACGAACCCTTAATTTTTTTCCAGTATCCTCATTGCTTGAATGAATGAGGAGAGCCTACGTTATATTCGGGAAGTCTCCTTGTGGTTGCCAAGGTTGGCCCCCTTCATCCCTCCCCTCGACAACCCAATCAACTCCCCTTCTCTTGCCCAAACCTTATAAAAGCATTGAGAAACAATGCTTTTAACTGAGCTTTACAAAAACCTGGCACAGATTTCCTGATTTGTTGACATAATGTTCCCAACACACTGATATTGACCATAATGTTCTGGATTCGGGAAGACTTGGATCCTTGATCTCAGACCAGCAGTAATAAGAGTTATATGGTTGCTTTCCAGGATTATTGCTTTGTTTTAAAATGATGCTCCCCTACTAGTGATAAAAACAAAATGTGACCTCAGAATTTTTAGGAGGTAAGGGAAAAGAATACAGAACTGAGGGATTATGTAAGATACGTAATTACTAAAAACTAGATGCGCCATCCATCCGATGCACACGTTCTCTTCAACCAACTAATCTCCTTTCTAAACTTCGTTCTTTAATGTCTTATGAAATTGACAGTGTGAGCCATGTTCGCAGTTCGTTCTAATGGAAGAGGGTTGAATATTTAACAGACTCTCTTTGCCTCTCATTCAGGCTCTTATAAGAAAAGTGGGCATGACCCTATTTTTATGCCAAGTTTGTAACTGACATGACATCATCGGCTTAAGATAGAAGATGACGTAATTGAAACTGCACACTCCCATGACTAGCTGTAACACGAGATTTACTTCCATCACTTCACTCTTGCCTGCATCAGATTGTCACTGATGTTGGCAGCTCGCTTCTCCAGCTATCCATGACCCATTTTAACCCTAACCCTAAATCATGCAATATAAAATGATATTGTCAATGCTTTATTCTGATTACGTAACTGTTAAATCCACAATATGTTGTACCAACATGCAGAATCATGTGATTCTCAGTAAATTCATCTGTTTGATAGTGCAGTTTTCCTTCCTCCTTAAAATTGTGCAAACAGGCAAATTTTAAGCCAATTTTTTGGCTTCACGTAAGTGCATACCTGCAAAGCGTCTACTGGTAGGGAGTATCTTTGTTAGCATTCTCCAAATACGCACTACTCGGATGACCTATTATAAACTGTAGCTTGCTTCTCTCAGAGAAGTAGAATTTATAAGATCAGTCAAGAAAGATAAACTAACCTTTTCAACAATATGAATATATCACAGTTATTGTTCGTTTAATAAATGTGAGCTTTTGCAATCATCCTGTGTGGTCTTCTGTTTCATACTGTAATGGGGGCTCCGTCCCCTGATAGTAAAATATGTTGTCATTCTTGACTCGTGGATGCGGCTGTTTTTCAGTGATACTTAGGCCTTGGAGAGACACATCTGGGTCTTTAAAATAAACATAATCTCTCCACAGCTTCAAACCCAGCAGAATTTCTTGCGGGCAACATTCAATTGAGTGTCGATCATGAAGCTAATGGGCAAGTGTTCGATTTTGGCAAGGTTTAGGAACTCCAGCAACTATATTGATGCTCTTTTAGTTCCAGGGCATGGTGCCACGTCCAGCAAAGGATGGTCCGATAAATACTCTTCCTATAAATAGCTGCGAAACAAATCTTGTGAAAAAACTTTTCGCATTTTAGTGTCTCTGAAAGATGTTCTCTAAGACAACCAGAGCAGGCTCATAGTGAGTGGGAGATTTGGACAGGAGCCATAGACATTCCTGACACCCCCAGGTTGCTGTTGGTTCATTTGAGCTCAGCCAATGCGCTCCGTCACCTCACATTTTCTGTCTTGGCCTAGTGCACAAACAGCAGTGTTTTTAGCCCAGCAGGAAGCACATATGCACAGTTGTATTTAAAGAAGATGTGCAGTAATATACCGTAGTTTACAAATAAAAATATTAAAGGAACTTCCCTCTTATGGAGAGTATCTAATGTAAACATAACTGTCATGTCAGACAGACATCAGTAGCAGTTAGCAATAGCAGTTTTTTTTTTTTTTGGTGCTGTAGAATAAGAGTGGATGCAATGTTTTTAAGAATCAAAATAAGAAACAAACCAAACAAAACTGTAAACTAAAGGACCTTAAGATTTGCGACAACCAGATGTGTATGCTTTTTCAGCACCTGCATGCTCTCCATTGATCCAAACCTAAAGATGATGCTGTTTTTTTACATTATCAAAGGAGAGGAAACAATCTGAAATCTGGGAAATGGCTGAAATTCAGTTTCGCCAGCACATGAAGCTGGATGCTACGTCAGAGCATGTGAACTTCCCATTATGCCACACTTACTTTAATAATTTCCTGCGTAGTAATGTCAAATCTTTTAAATGAATTAGTTGATCAGGTTCACAAAATGATTAAGGCGAGACACTGCAGGTGAATAGGGTTAAAAAAAACAACAACTAATAGTTATCGCCTTACTTACCCAGCTGATTGATTACATTGATAATTGCATTTTTTGTATTACAAGTTTTCTAAAATGTTAGGTTTAAATATGAAAATGAGTCATTATTTAATTAAATATGCGCTAATTTGCATACATTTCTAGTACAAAAATCTAAACACTGGATTATGTCAGTTTCAAAATTATTGTTTAATCTTTTTGACATATTAGGGTCAAAAGTTTTTACGGAGGTAATTTTGGGTATCTCATTTTTGTCACTCCATAATTCAGAAAATACTTAGAACGGACAGAAAACACTATATTTTCAAAATTTTTGAGGGAATAAAATATTGTATATAATCAAGCAAATTATATATGAACAAATCCCTCTGTAAAAACCTTCAGGATATAGACAGGAATAAAAATTTTAAGTTTGGTGTGTGTAAGTACCACTGAAGTGGACATTTATGGCTCAGTGTAGAAGAAAAAACTCATTTTGAGAAAACGGCCTTTAAAAATATGCAGTGTAATTGAAATATATTGACACAAATTTATAGAGTGCTATAAAAGAAACACTTAACAGTGTCTTTTGGATGTTTTCTTTCCACTCGTCTGAAAAAAAACACTTTTTTTTAAACAAAAAACAAAAAGCCCAAAATCTCAAATTTGAGAGGTGCATGAAAAAACAGTGTTTTTGCCTGCAGTGTCTCCCCTTAATTCATTCAAATCAACATTGAATGGTCTACTTGTAGTAGTTCTTAAATTAATAATCAGTGTATAATGGCACAAAGCTATGGTATGACTTGAAATGTAGTGAATATGGTGCTTTTGTGTTTTTGAAGCTTACCCGTTTTGATGCCCATGCATTGTAACTACATGAAAAAGAATGACTAGTGCATTTGTTATTTGTAGTCCATGGTAGGTTTGGAATGGCATTAGGGTGAGTAAATGGTGACAGTATCTTGTTCAGTCTGGTTCTATAAGTACTATTTAAGTTAAATGTAAATTTGGTTGCACAGTATGCCTGTCCCTTCAGTAAAAAACAGAAGTCTTGAATAAGCAGTATAATTATGCAGTGATAATTAACTGGCGGTGCATACGTGGCCAGTTGATTTGAGACATCCTGCATTGATTTATTTATTGGAAAAAGCCTTCCAACCAGAGCTAGCAAATCCCAAACATCAACTAATCAGTCAAATCTCAGAACTGTGTATTTTTTGCACATTTCAACAGAAAAAAAGAAGTCCGATCCAGCACGTTCACATTTCTCGCTTTCATCGTGACACGTTATTACACCCAAATGGGGACACTATTTTATTTTCTTTTTACCAGTGATGTGTTTGCAAGTCTCCTGTATAGTAGTGTGCCTTAGAGGGGTAAATAAGTTCCCCCGGAACCCCATTACTGCTTATCTGCAATCAACAATGCCTTATACCCACTGGGTGGTCTTTGTCCAAAGCAGCTGTTCAAGAAACGCATTTGCATTTTAAACAAGTTAATAGTCATAATGAACAGGAGGTGGGGGCTGTTTTGATGCTCTGAATGTAACAGAAAAGGGTTTTAGACTAGGGTTTTAGTCTTGAAAGTATGTGGCCACCCAACCTGCGCCTTTAAATACATAATCAGTGGAATCATAGAGATGAGAATCATTTAGACAGTGTTCGTTCTTCTGGCAATGATTGGCTGTACTGTGGGAGTAGGTTCTCCTAATGCAAGGTTATGCCAAATGTGAGCTTGATTTTTCTGTGTTTTAAACCAGGAACCTCAACATCCCACCTAAACTATCTTGAGTCTAGCAAGTTGGGGAACCATGAAAGGATAATTGAATTACATCACTTAAAATAGTAGAGTCTGATTAAGTGGTATCGGGTGGGAAATACAATAAATGTTTGAGGATTTATTTTAGAGATTCTTAAACGTCTGAGAATGCTGTGGTTTTTTATTTAATGTTTATGTGATGCCCCCCCCTTGGCCTTACTCTAACAGATTGCTGGGAATAGTTTAGGCAGCACTGCATTGTTAATCACTGAAAGAACACACACACACACACACACACACACATCCTATGATCTCATTCAAGCAAGACCAATAGGTGATTGGAATGCAAACCCCCTCAAGATAATTCCATGTGTTTTTGTAGGGACAGTGTATGAATTGTACATTTTTGGAAACCTCAGCCTGTCTGAGAATGCTGTGGTTTTTTATTTAATGTTTATGTGATGCCCCCCCCTTGGCCTTACTCTAACAGATTGCTGGGAATAGTTTAGGCAGCACTGCATTGTTAATCACTGAAAGAACACACACACACACACACACACACATCCTATGATCTCATTCAAGCAAGACC